TATTTTAAGGTGACATCGGGACTCTTTAAAAATTAAGTTAGTCCTAAGGTTTTAGTGTCTCTGTTCCTATTTATATTAGTCCAGCCCCTCCCCCATGTGTCCCATAAAAAAAAAAGAATATATTTTTATTTTTATACTTACTTTTTTTGCTACTATTTGACGTGCCTTGTTGAGCTGATGCTCATGTGCAGCAAGTGCCATGCTCATCCAGGCTCCCCGTCGGAAAGCACTAAATCACGTGATCAAGTTTTACTCTTTACTATTTTACTGTTAGTGTAGCAGCCACTGTAGGTGTGTTTAACACTTTAATGGTTGAATGGCGAAATTGACAGGACCATTGCATCTAGCCCACTTCATTGACATGAACCAATTTAATGGTTCTTTAAGTGTAGATAGCAATCCACAGTATCAGTACAACAAGAAAGGAAAATGGCATTATGTGCACGGTTTAGTTAAAAGGACAGTATATCACAATATAAATAGATTTTATAGGAAAAAGAACACATGCATGTTTTGAAGGGACACTGTAAGCACCATAACCACTATTGCCTATTGTAGTAGCTATGGGTGCAGTGACCTGGTTCTGTGTCAAATCATTTTTTAGTTATTTGACAAAGAAACAGGGAACTCCTGGGGCTCCCTAACTCAGCCTCTTGCTTGCTGTATTGGTTATAGACAATGCCATTCTAAGTGGCTGTGATTGAATCACCTGAGCACTTGATATTCTGCAGAGGTATGAGATATCACGTCTTCATTACAGGTCATCTAACACAGGAAATTATTCATATAACCTTTCACAACAGAGTCACAGAGTCACAACACACCTACTCTAATGATGCATGCATATTAATGTTATTTTTTATTGCTCATAACCTATCATCGGGATATTGTATTAATAATTCATTCTCTGCAAACAAGTCCTGCCCTCAGCCACCAACTGAGAGAAATTACATAATTTTTGTTTAAAAGACCACTATAGGCCCCCAGACCACTTCAGCTTAATGAAGTGGTCTGGGTGCCAGGTCCCCCTAGTTTTAACCCTGCAGCTGAAAACATAGCAGTTTCAAAGAAACAGCTATGTTTACATTGAGGGTTAATCCAGACTCTAATGACTGTCTAATGACTGTCTCCCTGACAGCCGCTAGAGGCACTTACGCGATCCTCAATGTGAAAATCGCATTGAACTCACCCTGGACGACCATAGGAAAGCACTGAGCACATTCTGAGCTGACGACTCAGCTGGAGAGGTCACCAGCGCGGCAGCGCCGAGGGAGCCCGGCACTGGATTGAGGTAAGTGGCTGAAGTGGTTTTAACCCCTTCAGCCCAGCAGGAGGGGTTCTCCGAGGGAGGGGGGACCTAATAACCCTATAGTGCCCTGAAACCAAGTTTGTTTTCCTGGCACTATAGTGTTCCTTTAACCCCTTAAGGACACATGACATGCCTGACATGTCATGCTTCCCTTTTATTCCAGAAGTTTGGTCCTTAAGGGGTTAGAATAAGGCTTGAAGACAAATTGACAAACAATGTATTTGTGTGACAAGTGCAAGCTCATCATAATGTCATGCATTGTTGTAGCATTGGTTGATGCAGGCAGGATGTAGGATTTTATATCTCATGGAGAGTAGCTGCGGCTGTATGAGCTAAGGAGTAGTCATTTAGTGAGTGCTTGTAAGTATTCCTATATTGTTCTATGGAGGACATTTTCCTCACTGATTAATGTAGTCCACAGAACAATATGCAATTCTATCTACCTGAATACTATTTTCTACTATTTTAGTTATATTTTATGGGGTTACTTACTAAAGTGAACGTGAATTTCAAATTTAAGGCCAGAGTAGCCTAACTGAGAGCATCGCTGAGTTTCTCCTGTTTATTTTGGCCCTAAATATAAAATTCACTTTTAAATTTCCCTTTAGTGAATAACACTGTTGGCTTTTAGTAGTATCTTTCTCTGAACACTTAACACTTTTCACTCAGAATAACACTTGTTTTGCTTTGATAAATCTCCTCCAACAAGTGTTATTTTAGACAGAATCCATTATATTGTCACAGCAATACCATAATGCTTTAATATTACCAATTAGCTTGTAATGTGAATGTTAATTAATTCTCTATATCCTTTGTTGTGTTTTGCAGTACACTGGAAAATCAATTTAATGACAAAGTACCATTTTCCTACTGTCTTTCTGCTCCATTAGAATGCTATTCCTTACCTGGTTCAGGAGCAAATCTTTCAACAAGAGCAAGGCCAGTTCCCTGCACTGAGGGACGTTAAAGAAAACCCCACCTTCGCACCCCTAATGCACAATAATGTATGCTGAAGAGGGCAGGGTTCATGGTGGAACGCCAGGGTAATTGCTCCCACCCTCCCAGGAGCCATGGGCATTTATGTCTAATTGGCAGCAGGTGCTAAAGGAATGACCCATCCCCTGTCCATAAATGTATTAAACTATGTATATATCTATGTTTATGTCTGTGTCTTTCTGTGTGTAGGTATATGTATGAAACTCTTGTTGGTATATTTTTACTACACGCAGGGCCCCATCAAGGGATGAGAGCCAGTACTCCACTAAGGGGCCTACATGAGCAATAGGACCCGCATGGAACAGTACATGGTCATATACTAAAATTATTTATAATAAACTTCATATTTTAGATCAGATTTATCACCATAGCGAAAATTCAGCAGTTTGGCAATTTGGCCTAAATTTCAAATAAATTTTGAATTAACAACAATTCACATTGTAGTGAATAACCCTGACTCATGGTAATAGGAGAAAAAAAAACAAAAAAAAACTTGCGTTCTAACACATCATCAGGGTGGGGGTGGGGGGCATAATGGAGGACTTTAGTGACACACGAGCACATAAGTGATATCCTCTTTAAAATGCAGGTAACGGTCAGTGCTAAAATCTTACTGCTTTTATGAGGTCAACGACATCAAAGGGTTTTTAACAACAGTGTAATTTTTAACAAGTTCACTAAGGTTAGTGTTAGGTTAAGGAGAGTTTTCTCATTATTAGAAGTTAGGGTTAGAGTTGAGGAACATATGTTTAGGGTTACATAGCATGGCTGAGACTGATACAAGCTGCGGTCCATAACGCCTTGAATGAAGATGCCCCTTGATCCTCATTCCTTTGAAATCTAAGCCACTGCAAGCCTACTTTTTCCTATTCAGAAACACCCCTAACCCTATGCCCCATGACCCTAACTATTCTTAAAGGAACACTCCAATGAAAAATAACGCATTCATTTAACAGTGCTCTGGGCAATTGCTTGAGTTTAGCCCCAGTGAGCTAACCAAACCAGGAAGTAACAGGACCCGATGTCTGATTGACAGCTAGGGGATGTAACAAGGTTAATTAATAAAGTGAAATCTGCACTTTTTGTAAAATTAAAAAGAGGACACACTCTTCATACATAAAACACTTCAGCAAGCTAAAGTGTGTTAGGTGTATGGAGTTTCCATTTAAGGCACTATAGCCACTACAGCTTAATGTAGTGGTTCTGGGGCAAAGAGCCTGTGCCTGTAGGGAGAGCAGTGCTTCCTTTTCTGAGAAAATTAAATGTTTTCACCTCGCCTAACACCAAGCAATATTATTTAGTGTAAGAGGGCATTGTGCAAAATTCAAATACATCCAATCATAATGATTGCATTCTGCTAGCATTTTAAAAACTTTCCTAAAAAATAAAAATAAAAAAAATCTGATTTCTTAGAAATACCCATAAGGAAGATATTAATTAATAAATGTTTGCTTTTTTTTTTTTTTATTAAGATGATCCCAGTAGTAAAACAGTTAGGGTTTCTATAAAATATACACCTTGACAACTTTCTCTTTAAAGTTCACACTTAAAAAAATAATGGATTATCACGGTTGAACATTTACATAAACTGTATGTTGAGTCATCAAAAATTGCATTAACAAATGCCACCAAATAATATATAATGAAATGCATTCTAATCCGCCTTGACAATGAATTAAATGAATGACTAAATTCTCAGGTCACAGGTTCAGAGGAAATATTTCATATGAGGTCCTTTGTGAACTGACATGATAAATCCACATATGATTTTCACAGTAATTACATTGTTGTTTAGACCATAATATTTCATTGGGTCACACTACAACCTAGATTATAATTGCTTAATCTGTCTGGGAACTAAAACTCAAGTTGTGAGTCATGTGGGGATGGATAGACTTGTTACATAAGTAAGGGATGCTTTATATGCATTCTAATATAGCAAAACTGCTAGGCATAAACATAACCTTATACTTTAGTTATAATATTAGAAAATGTGAATTTGAGTAGTGTTGTTTATAGCTCCCCTAATTACAAGTAAAGTGTAAAGTAAAGTGTGAGTTATTGTGAATTTAAAATAAATTTAAAATGTAGGCCACAATTTTCAAACTGCAGATTTTTTCTATGTTAATATATCTGTCCTAAATTATTATTTTTATTATGACTTTACCGCAAATTTCCGACCATTTACCATTTAGTATATGACCGTGTATTGTACAAAAAAAAAAACGCCTTAAAGAATTCATGGTACACAGTATGAATTTGCAATAAGACAAATAGGAAAAACAAAAACGATAAGAAATCAAGTGTTTCTAAAGGAGTGGAAAATGTACGCCATATTGTTAAAACTTAACCTTTAATAAATATATAAAAATAAATTTGTCAAACAGCCGAATAAAAATACAACACAAATAAAGTGAGATTCATAAACCTAATACCCAAATAAAATATATAGAAGATATGTATCATTATTATTATCGCCGTCATGTACATTAGCAGGTAAATGCCCAAAACATGATCGTAATAACAGTAGGAATTTTTTACATTTTTATACATGTTTATCAGTTGATACACAAAACGTTGGTATTTTACTTTGTGCTCAGGAGCGTGAGAATTCTCCTTCCTATGGCATGTGAACTATTAAAAAAACTCATGTAATCTTTATAATTTGGCTTTTTCACTCTGCTCTGAGATATTGTTTCATTTGTTTGTCCCAATTCAGCTCTTCAAATATAAAGATATGCAGTCTCCTTCAGACAAACCTGCAGGACATTTACACCATTTTTATTAAAATAGTATTTTTTATGTCAACTGCATGAAAAAAAATAATTCTACAACACCCCATTTACAGGATGGTATTTGTGGTATTATACCACCTCTGCTATAGAGTTGAATACATAGTCTAGAAAGATGTTTTCTGGAAGGTACAGTGAGACGTTTATAGAAATGGTTTACATGTTAGCTCTGCGAGAACATTCAGCTCAGCGAACTGTTTTTGTAAAAAAAAAAAATTTAGCGGGATGCCTGAATTTTGTCCAGATTTCGTTTAGGCAGGAAGAAAGTTTTGTATTGAAAAACGTATTTGGGAACCGTATCAGACAAACTAAAAAGGTGCACAAATGGGCCAATCAGTATACTGCAAAAATATACATATATGGATAAATGTATACATATTGTGTATATATTTATGTAATTCAATGATAGGAACATCTTCCCACCATTTGATTCACAGATCAAGTGAGTAAAAGAAACCAACAGAGGTAAAAACAGGAGCGCAGTTAAAACAAATCTGTATTACGTATTTATTAAATTTATAATACACAATTATACATTTACTTATTGTTCCTGCTTTTTATCCCTCAACTGCTCACTCCTCACTTGATCTGTGAATAAAATCAACATTTAGTGATTCCCCCCAGTCATCAATCATCATTTTTTTTCCCTATCAACCATCTCTTTTTTGGCGCCATGAGCATAATTTAGAATCACAAACTGAAATGGACTTGATTCGCCATTGTACTTTACGTTTGGTTTGTGATTCAGATTTCTTTTCGGCTTGGAGTTTGGTAATTCGACTGATCACCCAAACAGCCCTACTTTGGACTGAATTGCAGTTTATACAGTAACAAATGTCCAAGTCCTATACATAGTATTATTACTATTATTGGTATTTATATAGCATCAACTACTTCAACAGTGCTTTACAATATTATGAATGGTGGGGGAGAGGGGATTTACAATAAATGGGATAATTACACAATGACACAGGAATAATAGGTAGATGAGGACCCTGTTTAAACAAGAAGGGGGGTACAAAAAACATAACAGGACAGCAAGGGTGACAGCCACCAAACAAGGTGGAACAGTAGCAGAACTGGAGGTGAGAGTGGAGTGTGGCTCTTTAGGAGAGCAAGAGACGGATATGGATAAGTATAGATACAGTGGTGGACAGGGCTGGCCCAAGACATTGTGCTGCCTGGATCCAAGTATGAAATGCTGGGGCGGCAAAATGAGAGGGAGGGTAGACTTATGAGGAAGTGGTGGGGGGTAGACATATGGGGGGGGGGGGCAGGGCAATTTTCGCACCGGGGCCCTGTGCTTTCTAGTTACATTTCTGTATAGATAAGTTACTCTGGGAGTCTAAAAGCATTTCTGAACAGATGTGTTTTGAGGGACCTTTTTAAACAATTAAAGATTAGGGATGAGTCTGATGGGGTAGGCAGGCAGTAAGGGTGTGAGAAGCAGACAGGAGGAGGTCAACGGCAGAGAGGAGAGACAGAGAAGGGACATATCTATGAACATATATATATATATATATATATATATATATATATACACACCACATGATCATTATACATGGATATCACCTGCCTTCTCAGCCTGCTTTGTGTGATGTGACAGATCAGGCTGTGCCCCACAGATGCCATATCTTCCGTTCTACCATAGTAGTCCATGGACTTGATTTGCTAAAATATGATCTAAAAACATATTGAGTGGAAGCTTGTGTGTTTGATCCAGATGTATACACTCATCAGATACAAAAAAAACAACACAAAAAGTGGGATGTTAGTAAGATAAAATAGTAGGTCTCTGATCATAATAATTATTAAAATGGAACGCCTCCTTCAATGCTCCATATGAAGGCATCTGTGATTGTGGCCCTTGAGGGATTCTTTTAACGGTAAATTAAAAATAAATGTTGTATGCATTAAAGATTCTAGTTTTACTGCCGTGAATTATATTTCTGTAAGAAAATCTAAATGTAAAATATTTGGCCTTAATAACTTGAGAAGGTCATTGCTGTTAACATAATTGCTCAATTCCCCTCACATCTATAACACTTCATAGCAAAAAGTGTTCTTTTTTATTGAATAGTAAGTTTCAAAGCCCCAAAGCAGACATTTGAGCTTGCAGTCACCTACGCCCTAATTCTTCAGCATTTGACTGAGTCATGCATTTCTACCAGGCTTGTTAACTGCACTATTATTTTTTATTTTTTTTGTTTTATTTTTAAAGATCCCTGAAAAAGAAAAAAGACCTTTAGTAAGAGCCACTCAACAGGGATTATCTAGGAATTGACTGGACATATTAGGCACCTTCTCAAAAGATGACCTTTAACTCCAAGGTCAGGGAGGGCTTCATCTTTTACCATGTAACCGAAAGGAAGCTGAAGACTATCAACAAAATAAGTGTCCTTTCTCCAGGGCCAAGTTTTGTGACGTACTGACAAATAGTAGAAAACAATAGCCTTGTGAGTTTTTATTTTTTCAGCTGTTAAAATTAAGGGAATTAGTGAGTTATATAGGATAACAAAAACCCAAGGTAAATATTTCTAAAAGGAAAAGACAAAATTACTTGGGGAAGGCTTGTTCTGCTTCGTAGATTTTTTAAAAAAGCAAAAAAAAGCAACAAAAAAAAAGAGTTTGGTTCTCGTTCTCTGCTTATTGTCAAGAATTTAGATTTTATTGAATAACTAAGAAACAAAATAAATATCAAAGTTTGTTATATATATATATTTACATATATATATATATATATATATATATATATATATATATATATATATATATATATATATATTTAATTTATGTTTAAAGCCATGAAAGGTCTTGAAGTTTGTTGTATGCGTATCTACTGGAATTATCAAAGACTCAAAGAGTTTATTTTTTTTTTTCTCCGACTGGAAAATTAAAACATGGAAAATTTTTGAGTGCCAGAAAGGCATCATATATATATAACAAACTTTGATATTTCTTTTGTTTCTTAGCTATTCAATAAAATTAAAATTCTTGACAATAAGCTGAGAACCAAACTGTTTTTATACACTGCATTTAATTGTATACATCACCTTGATAAAGACCTTAGAGGTTAGAGGTCAAAACGTTGCTTTTTTAAATTCGAATTTCAATACATTAATTGATTTATTTAAAAAAACCCAGTGAATGCTCTAATGTTTTCATTTTTCTATATACATTGCAGTGCAGTGACACAACCTGGTTTGTTTTTTCTGTTTGTATATATTTGGGCAGAGTACCAGATTACTTGTTGTTGTTTGTATATATATAATAATTTATTTACTCTTCTTCTGCTACTCTTCTAACTTGGACATGATCTCTTCCACACTTGGATCATTAAACTTTGGGCTAAGCTGCTGGTTTGGTGAAAGGGATTTGCTACTAATCATGACTTTGTGTATTATGGTACTCCTTTATGTCACTTATAGAACCTAGGCTCACAGGAGTTAAGTATGTGATTCATGCTTAAATGAATACTTCATGCACCATAACCACAACAACATTTTGTAGTGGCTATTGTGCCAAGAGTGCCTTGGTGCCCCCTAAATGTAAGAGGTTAAACTGTTTTAGAATGGTTTACGTCTTACCTGCTATCCACCGGGGCGACACCATGCCTCCACTAGAGGCTTCTCTCTAGCCGGAAGTACTTGAATTAAGTCCAGCAATTCAGAACGTAGACCAAGAGAGCTAATGAAAGATGCTAAGCAGGAGTTTGTGGCTCTCCTGGTGGCTGAGAGGCCGAAGTAGGGAGCAGTGCCCAGTGAATCACAGGTTTGTTTTTTTAAATTTATTTTGGTAAATTTATTTTTATTAAGATGTTTTTTAAAAAAAACAAAAAACATACAGAATAAAATTCAGTAACCTTCATGCACAATACATGTAATATGGATTGTATATAGAATATAAATTCAGACATATAGATTTCAAAAAAAGATTCCAAAAAAAGGGCAGTAGAATTATGATTCAAATTCAAGCTTATTTAAGAAGTAGTTCCAGCAAATTTCACTGCTGGTTCTAAAACCTTTTGACCTTTAGTTGGGGACACCAAGGCAGTCTTGACAGGACAAACACTACATTGCTCTGCAGTGGTTTTAGTGTTTGGAATGTTCATTTAATAAATGTCAAAATACAAAGAGTTAATAATATGAATGCCACTCAATATGTTAAGCATGCACACATAGTCCAGATGTTTATTTGTTAATTTTTGCTGCCACAAAAATTGGGGAAAACATTGGGTACCCTTGGTTTATAGAGGTCCCGTGGATCCTCATTCATTCTCTTCTCCCAGATCCGCAAACCATAATGTTGTAGAAGGAAGGATCCTGCATTCTTTTGATATTGATTGATGTCTTTTTAACTCTTCATCTGCTGGCTGTCCAAAACCTTAATCAATTTTTATAATTTAGATTCAAGATGCTGTTCGGTTGTACCATCCATCAGTATCAAGAAAGCTGTCTGGTATGGTTCAAGACAGATATTGTACAGCCTGGTCCTACCTAAAGATTGCAGAATCAAATCCTGTTATGACCTGCTAATACTTTTATACTACTGAGGTATAAAATGTTTATGCCATAATTTAGTATTCAGCATCATTGCTAGATACATCTGAGAGCCTCTGTTTAAAGTGGTTTGAGGCCCCTTGACGAAAAAAAAATTTTTTGTTGTTTATTTATTTTTTATTTTTTTAAACTTGCATTTTTGTTGATTGATCTAAATAGTGTAAATAAAAAAAGTACAAAAAGCATGTGAATTCTGAGCAGCAGACAGTTTGAGTTTCACACCTTGCAAACTGAGTTAATAGAAAATGCATAAATATATTCAGATGAAAATATTTAGATGTGATTTACAAGTTATTTCTATAGATGAATGAACCTCTGCCATTCCCATATTACAACCCTAGACCTACACGCTTTCTAAAAATGTCAATGTGTAGACCTTAAGTAATTTGGGATCACAGGCCATAGGCTTGGAATCGATTCATTTAATAGTATGATACGGTGGAACCTATGGAGCTGTAAAGCAGTCTTAGTCTTCAGAGAAGACTCTAACCAGATGGACAGCTCTGATCTAACACCAGCTGTATTATTCGTCATATGTTTGACAGCAATCTAAGCTGTGGATATCCTAACATATTTTGCCGATAAGACACAGATTTAAGTGTGATGGACAGACTTCTTTGTACTTAAATTCTATCATGCTCAGTTTAGAGAGAAACACATTATTGGGAGTGTGTTATTCATGGTAGCTGGATGATAACATCTTTATAATTATAGAGGGATAATTATCACTTGACCATGAATTGTGGTTGAAGATAACAAACATATTGACAATAGTTAAATCCGATTAGATGATTTTGGAAAAGAAAAATATGGAACTTTTTTAAGTTCAGCTCCTGTACCCTGAATTTTGTAAGCCAACTCTAGCCATTAGAGTCCATAGAATTTATATATCCATTTACTTTGAAGGTAATAGTTAATACAGAGGTATAATCACATGGACAATTAATGGACATAAAAGTACATAGAATAATTGTTCTCTTTTTTTTTAAAACATTTTTAATTTATGGTGCCTTTCTGGCACTCAAAAATTTTCCATGTTTTTATTTTCCAGTCGGAGAAAAAGAGAATACACTCTTTGAGTCTTTGATAATTTCAGTAGATACGCATACAATAAACTTCAAGACCTTTCATGGCTTTAAACATAAATTAAATGACAAAGTGATCCTCATGCACAGGTCTCATTAGGGGTTTGAGAACATCAAACTGTCCAGTATATCAAATGTCATTTGTTCAGCTTTACCGGACTTTTCTACTGACACGGTTCTTATAGGAGCTGCGTCTTTACCTCCTGCTGGCCGAGTTCTCAAGGTCAATACTGCATGCGATCCTTGATCTCAATACAGGTTTTCATATGGTTGATTAACCTCATCTCCTGCTTATTCTTTTGGTGTTTAAGACAAGTCTCTCACCCCCTCCCCTAATTCTGTTTCACTTGTCTTTTAATCTGCATTTGCCACACAGTCAAAACAGAAAGGTTTTGAGAGTTCCAATTCTCTTGTTGTTTAGATTGTAAAGGGTGATGTAAGCTCGAGTGACACATGTAAAATTGAAAACACAATACAATAATGGGCAATTTTAAACTTGATTAACCATAATGCTATTTTGTTTAATAATATTTTAAATCTGTTTTGTGACATTGGGAATGTAAAAAGTATAGTATATGATGACTTATGGAAGAGCTTTGTTTATGGAAATCTTCCACCTTTACAGGGAGCAGTTGTTGCTTAGTCTTTTTTTTAGCTGAGAATTTGGGAGTGCTTGAGTTCTACGTTTAACTCATTGCCTTCACTTAACAAAGTTATTGGAATGCCAGGTAGATGTCCATCTTTGACAACAGAAATCTCACAATAGATATCTTTTCAAATAGAAAAAATAAATAGTAAAAAAATATATAAAATATATGGAAAAATATGTTATTTTATATTGTATAAGTTATCAGCCTGCACATAATACACTTTCAGTATTTTACGTACAAAGTCCAAATACAATAAATACAAAATATATGCAGGTAATAGAATGCCAATCTTTCAGTTATCAAAATCTTAAAATGCAAGTATTATATATATATATATATATATATATATATTGCTTCAGACCTGAGGAAGAGAGGAAAACTCTCTACTGGACTAATACTAATAATAGTCTACTGGACTAATAT